CAAAAGCTACATTCTTTAAAAAAGAAGTACCAATATCGACACATAGACAATATTATGTCGACACATGAACAACATGTGTAAACACATGAGTCATCACATAGAAATAGAGCCTACATGTTTTAATATTGCCGTACATGTGTCGAGTCATACATCTTATGTGTCAGGTCTATTTTTAGGGTAAAAACTCATTTTAATGCATGATTCTTTTTCCAAACATGTTCTAAATGCATTCTAAGTACCCAAATGCAAAAGTTCACATGAATACTCAGAGATATCATCCAATATACATAAATGATAAGGTTATCCTAGTTTTGACATCATGTAAAACATTTAATGGGAAAGTGCACTCACATACTCCCCCTTTTGATGATGGCTAAATTTGTGACGTTGTATTTTGTTTCTACATGAAGGCCCCCTCTGAATATGTGCATCCTAACTTCATCTCTGCATATTCTTATGTCCCTTTGACAACATCGAAAAGATACAAAACAAGCCATTAGAAGTATCATTTATCACATAATTACTAATATATCACACAGGGGCATTTTACAAAAGTAAGATCGTGCACTCACATATACCCATATTAATTGAGTGACACAAAAATTAAATATAAATAATAGAAAATACACATCACCATAATAAAAAATACAAAGGCATGAAAGATAATTATTTCAATGCACTAGCAAACTCTTGAGTCACTTAAAAACGTCACGATTACGCAACACTTTACAATGGTGCTCTCGATATTGCACATGCATGTGCCTAGCTTGGCAAAAAATACATCATCGCTAAACCCAAACCCAAATATGCTCTCATAACATGTGACGTGACTCGATATTTATTTAAGGCTTTGTTTATGGAGATGTTATCACGATGAATACCAATGTGATGTGCTTTCATTTGTGTGGAGCAACAAGAGGATGGATATGTGCTCTTGCCATGTGATTTTGAAGCACACCGAATTGAGATTCCATTACTGTTGTATATATTATCCATTAACGATTATGCAACCATAATTGATAATGTGAATCACAATTTAAATGCATGTTTAAGTACGTAGTTTGTATTCTTATTTATTATTTGTTGGTTCAACTCAATTGTGTTTAGATTATACCTTAACTTTGTGATGGTCTCAAGCTATAAATTTATATTTATTTAAATGCTTGTTAAATGTTTGATAAAATGATAACAAGAAAAACATAGTGTTAGTGATATAATCCTTTTTCACATTAGTGAGAATTTTATATTTGTAGAACCTATAGTTTATACAGAATCAATATTTTTGCAATAGTCTCAATTTTAAGATGCTTAAATCATCCTCAATTTTCTATGTTGAATTTTCTCATTTTTGTAACGAAGTATAATTTCGACTTTAAGTGACATGACATGCCACGTCAGCCATAATTAGAGGAATAGACAACATAGACCAAAATTGTGGAAGATCATTATTTAAAAAAATGTTATAAAGGACTAAAAAAGTATAGTTTATATATAGAGTTCACAAACATATTTAACACTAATATTTTTTACAGCGGTCTATAATGTTTGAATATTTACTAATATAATAATATGTAGCATATATGTTAAAATGCAAAATGCATCTTACTTAATTATATTTTTACAATTATATGTTTTTAGAGTTGGTTTTGCCTACCAATATACGGTCGATCTTAAATGTTGTTTGATTTTCCATTCTGTAGTGTGGGCCCTTTTAAAATTCAGCAATGAGTGCTTTTTCTCATGGATGATATATACTAAAGAGGAATTATCGGACAAAGTAATGCTTGGAAATTGTTTCTTGCTAACACCACATGCATATTGTGCACCTTCTTATAGTGTATAATGAATCTCATTTGTGTATATATCAATAGTTGGTTTGAGAGAATGAAGTCTCAAATTTTGGAAATGGTATCTTTGTTTTTCTTTTGGAATTTTTATTGGTTTTTTTTCTCGAGTCTTCCATTAATTGTTGTTGTGAACTTTGTATATTTGGTTTTCAGTTGGTTGTTGTGAATTTTTTTTCGTGATATTTTCTCAATTTCTGGTTATATTGTTTTATAGTTGATAATTTGTTTTTAGGTCAGTAGAGCACTTCTAGTACTGTTCTGCTCCTCTATGTAACAATTTTATTATTTAGTATATATTTTATTTTTAATATAAAAATGATATTTAAAGTTTTTAAAATAGTCATTAAAAAAGAATTATTGTAAATTATAAAATAGTTTTTTTAAATAAATTAATCAGATAAAAAAGTTATCATACACTACTATTTATTGAACCAATATATTTCTACCCACCAAGTTTTTTTTACAATAATAACAATAACATTTTGAAGAATTATTATATTTTAATTTCTTTTATTTTATTATTTTAAGTTTATGGCGATCAATTATTTGTCACTCCTATCTCTTCATCTAGTTCCATTAAATATTAATAATCAAATAGTAATATTTGCATGACCAATAATACACCGCACAATATAAATTAGGTGTAATTTTATTAATAATCAAATTATAGAGAAATGCATTGACAAAGATCTATGCATGCATAAACAATACAAAAATTAAGGACACTTTGATCCTCCTTTCGTATTTCTCATGTTATTATAGCATGGACATTCTTCCTTATGACCATAAGTTCCAGATGGAACACACAAACATTTTGCACAACAAATATTACAATATCTTAGACATTCCTTCTTGTGTATAGTTGCTGAACATCTCACATTACATGCACCCGAACATTCTGAAGAAATAAAAACAAGATATTAATGGTGAGTAATATTGTGTTTCACATATGATTGGTAAAAGAGGATTGTTTTAAAAAAAAAGAAGCTAGAACTCATACCTTCAGGATGAAGAGATCTTTCTCCCCCCGCCTGTAGATTTTTATATAAAAGATAAATAAACATATGTTAGTATGAATAAGTTTAAAATTATAATTATATATTTAGGATGAAGGAGATATTATTATTTTTTAATTTTAAAAATAATAAAAAAAAGTGTTAAAAAGTAAAATATATAAACATTTTATATGCAAGATGGACTACCGCATAAAATTAAAATTTGACACATTTAATTACAACTAAAAACACATTATATAATAGTTGTCTCAATTAAATCATGACAAAATATAGTCTCTACTTAATTTATTACTCTTGATAAACGTACACAAAATTTTAAAAAGTTTAAAAGAGTTAAAAAGAAGAATGACTCACATTAACATATATATTTTGGATCACAAAAGTTGCGACGACCATTAGAAGAAATACAGAAACTAATTTAGCCATAATAATTTTGTTGGTATTTTAACTTAAGTCTTGTTTTGTACAAAGTTTCTCCTTAGAATTGAGAGTTATATAGAGACAAATATTAACACAATCAATTAATCTTATTTATTATTTCCAATTTTAATGTTGTGTTTATCTGGACAGGTTTTTTATATAAACTATATTAAATAAATCAAAAAAATATAATGTTATATTATATTAAAATTGAAAAACTATACAATTAACAATATATATATATATATATATATATATATATATATATATATATATATATATATATATATATATATACTATATATATATATATATATATATATATATATATATATATATATATATATATATATATATATATATATATATATATATATATATATATATATATATATATATATATATATATATATATATATATATATATATAGATATATATATATTATATATATATATATATATATATATATATATATATATATATATATATATATTAGTGAGTCTTTAGTTTTAGGATTTTTATATATTTTTGATTAATTTTATAGTATTTAGTTGACTTCTACCTTTATTGGTTTATTTTTTCTATTTTTCTTTTGTATTGATATATTTTACTTTCTAGATTGTACTTTAGATACTATTTTTTTAATTAAATTAGAAAATAGTTTTTTTTATTTATCGGTTTTAAAATTTATTAAAATATATTTTTTTATTTGTCAATATACTTTTTATATATTTATTGTATAGAGATATTTGGGCTTTAAATTCTAGATGATAGATATAGACAACTGATTATTGATAATTAGAATACTAATGTGATTGGTTGTCATGTGTTTGTTTTATCTACTAAGTTAAAATTTGTTGAACCTATTCCTAAAAATGGAGCAAAGAGATATTTGATAATATTCATCTTAAAGTCACTCAAACTACTAATGAAGTGTATATGATATAAAGTTGAATTAATGATACATTTTACAATGATGATATTGGATTGAGGGAAAAATCCTCAACGCCTGTTAGATAAGATATTGCATATGCAACACTAGTTTTGGAGGAATAATGTAAGGAATAAGTTGTTTAAGGATGACGATAGGAGTATAAATTTTTTTCATAACATAGTCAAATTGAGATATGATAGTAACAAACTAACTAGACTGGGGTATGGAAATATTTTTTAGAGGAGGGCAACATGGAGTAGGTTTTTTCCTAATCTCAATTCAATCAATGTGCCTTTGATACCTATACAACATGAATAAGGTTTTATAAAGTAGTATTGACCTTATGCACTTTCAAATTTTAAATTAAAAATCATCATTATTGTCATTGCAAACATGTTGACATCTTAACTCCTAAAAATTTTTAGAACACTAAAGTGGCTTCATTAGAGGTAGACATATTTATGAGTGTATTTAAACTACTTTAGAAGTCATTAATATGCTGGACAAGAAATTATTTAGAGGTAGTGTGGCTTTTAAGATAGACATCATAAAAGCCTTTGATATTTTAGACTGATATATTATTAAACTTCTGGTTCAAATTTGGTTTTGATCAAAATTTTGTTATTGGATACTTATCATTCCACACTCAGACAAACTATCAATCATGATAAATGGAAAAGTTGGAGGATTTCTTCTTGCTCAAGAGGAGTGAGTCAATGATATCCTATATCTCCCCTACACTTTTGCATTCTTGAAGAGGCATTTAGTAGGAAATTATCTATTTCGGTGGATCAGGGTAAGTTAACATGCATAATAGTTGATAAGACAATCATTTCTAGCCACACTTTTTTTACAAATGACCTTATGATATTTTGTAAAGTTACTAGAAAAAAATGCTCGAGTCATTAACCATATCTATAAAGAATATGATCTTAATTTCGGTCAACAATAGTGCTACTAAGTGTTAGCTTTATGGGGGAGGTACTTTTGGATCTAGTGTAAGGCACATTGCAGATATGCTTGCATTCATTGGAGGACAAAAAATATTTAACTATCTTAGAGTTCATATATTCAAAAGCAAACCTAAAACTCATCGTCCAAAATCATAGTAGATAGAGTATTAGTCAAGCTTGCTACTTATAAGGGACACATTATTTCTATGATGTGTAGGGTTCAATTTGTTTTGTCAGTCATATAAGGCACGCTTCTGTATAGTCTTAGAATTTATGAATGACCAATCAGTTCTCTTACTAAACTAGATTATTGCATTATAAATTTCGTGTCCTTGTAGCATATGTTTATTGAACACTTATTCTTAGTGAAAGTATTAGTATATTTTTTTTAATTGTAAGCCTCTCTAATATCACTTTGATAGGAGAGTAGGACTGTCTCTTATTGAGTTGTAAGTATTTTTAATCATTCTTAAGCTTTTGAAGCTTAAAATGGTTATGTATCTTTGAAGATTGTCTTCTAAATTCAAGAACTGTTTTTATTCACTATAGTGATAGGAAGGAAAGTAAAAAGGGGTCTCATACCTAGGTGAGTCTTAGGTAGAAGTAAGCACAGGTAGTGATTAAGTGAGAAAATGTAAACGGGGGGAGTTTAGCTTCAAATTAATACTATTATAACAGACTTCCTCCCTGGCTTGGTATCCCCTAGAGTAGGTGTTGTTGTACACTGAACTGGGTTAAAAATTCTGCATGTTCCTTTATTTTTTCAGTATTGTTTATCTGTTATACCTTGTCATTGTGTTTTGTTCAGAGATCATTATCTCGACATCTCTTAAGACATCTGAGATCTGACTACCAGAATTTCAATTGGTATCAAAGTAGGCATCCTACTATGTATCTAGGTGTGATCCAGGGAAGATATTTTGTGTACAATGAATAAGGAAGGAGGGATTTCTGAACAGACTACCCATCCTTGATGGAAACAATTATGACCACTGGAAAGCTTGTATGGTAGCTTTTATTAAATCCATGGATAACAAGGCTTGTAAATCTGTTGTCAAAGGGTGGATCCACCAATGGCTAGAGATAAGGAAGGGGAATATTACTGATGTGATGAAGGATGAGGAAGACTGGAAAGATGAAGATGATATGTTAGCTGAAGGAAAATCTAATCATTGAATGCCCTATTCAATGGATTGGACAAAAACATCTTCAGACTGATAAGTAATTGTACTGTTGCTAAAGAAGCCTGAGAGATTTTAAAGACTGCTCATCGAAGGAATCTCTAAGGTGAAGATATCAATACTTTAACTTCATACTTTTGCAACTGATTTTTTTATCAGAGTCGCCACCCTTAATTTTTATCTTAAGGAAGGGGAGTATAAAGGAATAACCCTAAAAAGTTCAGAGATTCTAGATCATTGACTCTGTTTCAGATGAGAGGAAGGTGTTAGGCACCCCTCATCTACCTTGTTTACAAGGATACTAGGTTTAAAAGCTCAGTTTTAGGAAATAGAGTTTTAAGTTTTATAGGGGAATTTGCCACGATTTTAATCGCATACCTACGTATCCTCTTAGGAGGAATCAGAGTCCCATTTCATAGTTTGCAGTTGGTTTATACTTTTTTTATGGGTTAAAAATTATATTTGATTTTCCTGTATACTCAGTATAGGTGTACGAATAGCGGAGATATTAGACATAGTACGTTGTTGATTCAAATATACTTGTAACCTTTTTTTTGAAGAATAATGGTTGGATTAATTTGATTTACGAAATAATGTGTCACTGGTTAAGTATTTTTTTAGTATATTAATTGTGAAAATGTTATAATTAAATGCATGATTAAAAGAAATAATTTAATGCAATAAAATATATTTGGATGTATTTAGAAAAATATATTTTGGCTTATATGACAAAAGATAAAATAAATAATATTATAATTAATAAAAATAAGAAAATATAAATATAAAAATAAAATTATAAAAAAAATACAAAAATGCAAGGGGGTGTAGATTATACTAAGCTAGTAAAGAGGGGGGTCTTAATAGCATGGGCCTGAATTCAGATATTAAATTCAGTCCCAACAGGGAAAGGGGTGTGTTTCTGAACGCATTAGCAAAAAGGGATGGTGTAAAGAGCCAGGGCCCAAGTCCAGATTTTGGACTTGGCCCGTTTTGGATTTTGGGAACGTTTTTGTTGGTGTAGTAAAACTAAAAAGAAATAAGGGTGTAATTAGACATGGGCTAGGCCCAATAGACATGGAGTTGTGGAGATCCATTTGGATTCCATATGGGAAGGCATATGGCAGTGTGGTGGGGCCCGTGTTTTAGAGAGTAAGATTGTGATCGTACGGTTCAGATTTGGGAAGTATGGTAGTGATGGTAAACCAACATGTACTAGATCACGAGACTTAATATATTTTCTTTTTATAAAAACAAAAATTTCATTTTTACATCTTCTTCTCTCTCTCTGTTTCGTTTCTTCTCTCTCTCTCTCTCTCTCTCTCTCTCTCTCTCTCTCTCTCTCTCTCTGTCTCTCTCTCTGTCTCTCTCTCTCTCTCAAACCCTAAACATTGCCACCCCAACCTGTTCCGGCGACAACGCTTCTCTCTCTCTTTCTCTCTCTCTCTCTCCTCTCTCTCTCTCTCTCTCTCTCTCTCTCTCTCTCCTCTCCTCTCTCTCTCTCTCTCTCCTCTCTCTCTCCTCTCTCTCTCTCTCTTCTCTCTCTCTCTCTCTCTCTCTATGATGCCTGCCTTTTCCGTTACAACCCAAATCGTACAATAATAGGAAAAAGCTAAGTTGTTTTTTTTACCTCCGGTCGTGGTTGTCCTTCAGGTTTCGCGTCTGATACTGATCTACAGCTTTTCTAATCCCTCTTCTTTGTTTCAGGTCCTCGTAATAGAAATGGCGATGAGGACGGTGGCAGTTGAGGATGCGTTGGTGTGAAGAAGGAGGTTGTAGCGGCGGGATAAAGGAGTACGGGGGGTTTCAGAGGTTGAAACCCCCAACTTGGAACAACGGTAACAGTTGTTGGGCTCTACTGTCTTTCTTCTCTCCCCTTTCTGTTTTACCTTCATGTAATAATTTTCTCT